CCCCAAAACCCCAAAACCCCAAAACCCCAAAACCCCAAAACCCCTCATACCAAATGCAATAGTAATTAAAATAATTGAAAGTTAATAAATAAATTATTCTCAAAATGAATGCTTATGATGTGATAGAGAATTCTCTATAGATTATAAACACTTAAATTGGCCGAGAAAAAGTAACTCAGTTCAATTAATATTCAGACTTGTAGATTTTTCCATTACTTCCTTGAATTTGTAATACCCATCCTGACCACTTAGGGAGTCCGCTTCTAAGAATTAGTTGAGAAGCTACAGAAGTTTAAGCATAGCATGTTGATGACTAGGAAGGTCCTTAGATTTGGAATGCCAATTAGGTACGCGATTGATGTGAAAAACAGATTCAAGCAGCATGAAAAGAAGGGTGTGAGGATGGTATTCTGGAGAACCCTTCAAGATATCTCTAAAAGTATGTACTATCTTCTAGACCACCCTATTTATTTGCATAAAATCAGTTTGATATCTCTGAATAAGCAGGTGATAAAGGATCTAAAGTATCATTCCAATAGATTTTGGCTGATATCTGCCATCATCGATATAATGTGTGACGTCGTTGACCTATACCAAATACAAAAAGATATATAAATTGCAGTAAGTTCTATAATATTAATATCCAAAATACTTATCGTAAATGGTATAGAAACAAAGCTCTTTGGGGAAGTTGAATTCGAGAAAAAATTTACAAGCAAATGCATAGGATGTAAGAGAAAAGTTGAGGAAACTGTATTTACTACACTTCCTAAAGTTACTAAGCATTTTGAGGAGTCTGGCAGACATACCTACTTCGCTTCATTATATGGGTACAAAGAGAGTTAACGCATAGACTGCTGGATTCTTTGGTACTATTTCTTCTATAATTTCTCTGTATAATCTCTGGGGCAAGCAATGAACAAAAGTTTGATTATTGAATTATGATTACTCTAGGATATCAAAATTTAACATGCTTGGGGTTTTGGGGTTTTGGGGTTTTGGGG